GTGAAACGTAAGCCGTTCTCCCTGCGTGAAACGTAAGCCGTTCTCCCTGCGTGAAACGTAAGCCGTTCTCCCTGCGTGAAACGTAAGCCGTTCTCCCTGCGTGAAACGTTATTCCTACTCTACATTGCCATAGTTATAAGGCAGCTGTGAAGGAGAGACCGGAGTTTCTAGAACTACTTGGAATACGAACTCTCCATCGCGACAATGGAACGCTCTACAAGGCGTCCAAACAGAATCTGCGAGATAACTGTAAGCCTACCCGGCGCGATAATCATCGGGGCGCTATCCAGCTATAATCATCGGGGGGAGCTAATTGTTGTTTGATAGATGCCGCTCGGAGAATGTTGTCGGATCCAGGTGGAGAGACCAACGACTTAATCCGCTTTCTCGACCGGATCAGTATTGTTAGATGTGACCTGGAGAATATGATTAAGTCCTTACGGGACCTCCATGATGACCTCGACATTAAGGAACGTGTGTTATCGATGAGGACGTGGCAGACCTCCAGTGTCCGAAACTCGTCACTAATAGATCTGTGTACCAACTTGTGTAAGTGATCGTTAACTTGTGTAAGTGATCGTGTGCAAGTGAACCCGGCCCCCCGGGGGTCGTCCTGCTCCGGTCGTCCCGTTCCCGCCGGTGGTTCACGCTGGTCGGTCGTCCCGTTCAGAGCGTCCGAGTCCGACTACTGTTCTTTTTCAGCGCAGTTCTTACCTGAGCCTGATGCCTGTTCAACGCCTTTAGAAAGTCCTGTGGAACTCGAGGCTCCGGGCTTGCATGCCAAAGCGCCGCCACCGTCTGGCGACTCTAGTTGCTGCGATAGTGGATTGGACAGTGGAGAGTATGTCGAGGTCGGGACCGAGGTTCTCGGGACCGAGATCGAGGCGGGGGAATGGGAGGCAGTGGACTCCCGCGGTTCGTTGAATCGAATTGCTGTAAAGTCGATGTTGCGAGGATCTCGAGGCGTTCCGCCCATGCGAGGATTTAACAGTCGCGGAGATCCCTCCTTATTGCCTCACGAACGTGTTCGGCCGCTACGGCGGCTGAAGTATGCTTCAAGCCCGGATGCTAAAGATACCCAGTTCAACCACCGCCGGAAACTCATTCGTCCTAGGTGCACCCGACTTCGGAAACCGACGGGTATCAGTCCAGCGAACCACTCGGGAACTGACCCAGAAGATGATAGCGCAGCTCTACCGAGGACTACGACCGCCGGTGGCGACACAGAGTTGTGTGCAGAGTCCGGACATCTAAATGATAGACAGAATAATGGATACGAGAGTGAGAAAAATGGATCGGAGAGGAATGGGGTGAAAAGAAATGGTTCGGAAAGGAGTGTTTGGGAGAAGAAGGGAGACAGGCATCGGGGTGGGTTAAGCATTCGCCAGACCGTCGGCATCCCTTACCGAGCACCGTTGTATGGGACGTGCTATCAAACAAGTCGTACGCTAATGACGCAAACGTCTCGAACTCAAACTCAGTCGACCAGGACACAGACAACAGCTCGGACGCGTGGCAGCCGGATGTCTCGTTGTTGGGCGATTGACCCCGTTTTTGCAGAGCGTGAGATTTGTCGGTCTGAGTCTTACGACTATGGGGATACCGATTCTTTGTTCGAAACTCCAGGTGACCGTATGCTCGCTGTTCATGACCGAGAGCGGAGACGAAGACCGAGCGCGGCCCTGGACAGCCAGGAGGGCTACCGAGCTACGCCCTTTTCCACCCCGGAAGACGAAGGGCCTCTTCTCAACTATAGAACCAGTCCCACAATCGCTAGATTGCGTTTTCCCACGTGCTCTGGAGACGTGTGCGGATTCGTCAATAAAACCCGGGCTGAGAAGATCCTGTCAGATGGCATCAAGTACGGTGCTCACCCTCCGGGTAATAATCCTTCGGGCAATAACCCCCTGGGTACTAACCCTCCGAATAATGGCATTGCTGCTTGCCGGAATGCAAACGCGAGGGCTCACTCAAATGCTAAGCTCAATGCTGGCCGGAGGAGGGTCGGCTGCCGGAGTGCCGGTTGCCGAAACGGCGACCGAGATGCGGATCGTTATGGAGGTGCGGAGGGACGGAGTAGTTGGAACGGATACCCCATGCCCGACTTCAAGCGAATGGGTCCCGGTGGCCACGGCAGACGGAGCGACAAGATTGCGATTGTGAGGGACTGTCTGGCATTCGACAACGAAGCTGCTCGAGACGAACACTCTGCCCAAGACGGGCAGTATGCCCAAGACGGGCACTATGCCCAAGACGGGCAGTATGCCCAAGACGGGCACTATGCCCAAGACGGACATCCGATGAGGGAGCACATATTCTCCCATGCCCTTTCGCCGGGCGAGGTCTTCGAGACTCCGTCTGCTTCTTCCGGAGAGGGTAACCCGCTCAACATTGAGACGCCACTGTCGTCTTCTCCGGGAAGCGCAGCACCGAACTCGAGTGGTCTCCCAAACTCGTGTGCGCGGCCAACTAGGAATGGAGAACCAGCCGCGAGTGGAGGACCGGTGGCGAGCGGAGCACCGACTCCTTTGTTTCAGACGGCCCGTGGAGACAGCTGCAGAGCAGTAGCGAGTCGAGGAGGGCCGTCGCCGCGTGGCCGGCGTATAAGCGCGCCGTCCTGTCTAAGTGGGGCCAAAATGACGGAGCCTTTCCACACCGAGGACCTCTCTGACCAGAGCTCTTTCTGGGCCATGGAAGCTGGTATGGAAGCTGGCATGGAAGCTGGCATGGAAGCTGGCATGGAAGCTGGCATGGGGGCCGGTATGGGGGCCGGTATGGGGGCCGGCATGGGGGCCGGCATGGGGCATCCGTCTCTTGGGTGTCCGGAAACGTTGTTGGACGCGGCTGGCGACTATTTGGAGGGCGAGGTGAACCTTCTGACGGAAGTGCCTCCCGCACGTCTCCAAGTTCCGCTGCCCCCGGCCGAGGGTTATCGGAGCAATTGGGTTGGTGGAGTGGGGGCCGCAGCCGAGGGGGAGGCCGGTGGTATTGGTACTCGTGGTTATACTAATACTAGCACTGGTGGCACTGGTGGTGGCACTGGTGGTGGCACTGGTGGTGGCACTGGTGGTGGCACTGGTGGCACTGGTGGTGGCACTGGTGGTACTGGTCGTGGTACTTGTGGTGGTGGAGGAGGTGAGGGGGGTCGGAAGATAACGGTGGACGAAGCGGTGGAGATGGCGCAGAACTTGGTGCGTTGGGTGGATCAGGTGCTGGAACATGTGCAGCGTACACAGGGGGGTGGTAGTACGCGGTATCTGATGCGGCGTATGTGTGGTAAGAGTCGACAGAGGAAGATGTTTGTGAACGCACCGAATTTCAGCTTGATGAAGTCGATGATGGCGGGCGGTAAGGTTGAACAGGCGACGACGAAGATGGTGCGGAAACGTGTGGAAAAAAAAGTGATGGACGTGAGTAGTGGTACGAAAGGACTAGTAGTGCATTTCGGACATCGATCATGGAACACAGTATTGAACATGATGGTTGGTATCCGGTTAGCAGCAACGCGTGTTATGATATCGGCACCGCCGGATGGTTTTATGGCTCGAGTTGGAGTCGGTTTCGGTAACGCGCGAGAGAGCTTTACGGGGTTAGATGATGGTATGTTGGGTAGCTATGATTTCATTATTAAGGACAACTTTTCGATCCTACCTCGAGTCTCTAATTTGGTTGATAAGATGAAGCGTTACAATTACTCAATCGTTCGTTTTATTGACTATGCGCCGCTCGTGTTCAAACGTCTTCGCGAATTAGATGGACTTGACGGAGCTGAATACCTCGAGTCCGTCGGGCCGGAACAGTTGTTGTCCAATATGGTCTTGGGGAATTTGTCGTCTCTCAGCGAACTTTGCACCGAGGGCAAGTCCGGTGCACTATTTTACTACACTAGCGACGGTAAGTTCCTCGTCAAAACCATGACCAAGGACGCTGCCAAACTCCTACGGAGCATCCTACGTAGCTACTACGAACATATCATCAGCCATCCCGACTCTCTTGTCGTCCGCTTCTATGGGTTCCACGCTCTTCGAATCAAAACTGGCAAAAATAAAGTACGCAAACTGTACTTCGTTGTCATGCGAAACCTCTTCCATACATCCGTGCTTATCCATCGACGCTATGACATCAAAGGCAGCTGGGTAGGACGCAGCACACTCAACCAGGTCAAGACTGTCGCGAACACCACACGGACCGGCGGCAACCACGTCGGGGGTGATCCAACAGGCGGAGAGCCGAAAGGCGGAGATCCGAAAGGCGGAGATCCGAAAGGCGGAAGGCCGAAAGGCGGAGAGCCGAAAGGCGGAGAACTGAACAATGTAACGGATCATGGAGCGACGCGGAGGGAGGACGCCATCCCATGGGACCCCACCATTGCACTGAAGGACCAAGACCTATTGCGACTGAAGGATTACCTGTACCTCCAGGCAGAAACCCGCGACCGACTCCTTGAAACACTTGAACAAGACACGGCATGGCTTGCCAAGATGCATCTCATCGACTACTCGCTGCTTCTTGGCATCCATGTCAAAGGTCTCAATGACAAGCACAACATCCCCCCGTACCAATGCTACCGACATGCTCTCCGAACTCGCAAACCGGATCACCAGGCCTTGAATCCAGACCCGGCGCTACAACATACAGACGGCTTACCTGTACGTGGCCTACTCCTAGATAATTTGCCAACAGGCGGGCCACCGGGGTATGGACTATCGGGGTATGGAGTACCGGGGTATGGAGTACCGGGGTATGGAGTACCGGGGTATGGAGTACCTGGAGATAGATTACCGCCTGAACGACAACGATTACCTCCTACGGAACGAGATAGACTGCGACATGCTGACAGTTATGCAGGTTATCGTGTTGGCGAATCCCACAATGAAGATCCCGAGGAGGACCGGCCGAAGTTGATGAGAAGTACCAGCTTATTCGATCAGCAAAATAATATCACAGACGAGGAAGATGAAGAGGAGCTTTTGGAAGACGTGCATGGAACTGCCGTAAGTCCGGACAGTAGGTTCTATTATTTCTGCGGTATCGTTGACATTTTGACGTTATACAATAATACCAAACGGGTCGAACATCTCTGCAAAAGCATTACTCAAGACAGAAGGGGTATCAGCTGTGTAAAGCCGAACCGATATCAAGAACGCTTCATGAACTACTTGCGTAATATATTCAGAACGGGGAATCCCCCCGCCGTGGATGAAGACTAACTGCTGTCAAAGAAACGATTTAAACTTTCATGAACACAGTGCTAGATTTGAGGCACAGACGATCTCAGCATCCAAGTGCCCACACACTGACTGCTACAGTTCACACACTGACTGCTACAGTTCAGGTTGGTACAGTTCAGGTTGGTACAGTTCCGGTTGTCTGAAGTGGAGGTTTTTGCATCGGCATGAAAATAAAGCAGTATTCAAAAAATGCATGAGAGACTGTTGTGCGTAGCATAAAAGAAATAGCGCCAAACGATGGCGGAAGGTACAAACGATGGCACGAACGAGGCCAACAAAACGAAACTAACTTGCTCAGCTTGCTTCGATTACACTTGCAGTGCTTGAAGTTCCTGTGCGAGGTCGTCGATATCTTGTTCGGCTTGGGCGATTTCATGTTCGCTGCATTTGCGTGTGCGGATGTCCTTGGGCAAGTTCTGGAATTCCCACTGTTTGACCTTTTTGTGACTTTGTTTCTTAACGACCATGACTTCGTAAGGGAAATTTCGTAGCACCTCGTTCAAAGCTCCATCGCTATCACTAAAGTTATTGGTCGCGAGGTCGTAGCCCAGCACGATGTCGCCGGACTTTAGATATGCACCCAGATGACTGATGGTTCGGACGTAGCGTTCGTTGACTCCCAGGTCACTGCACTTGCAGAGTTCGACCTCAGCCAGTACCATGTTGTTGCGTCCCCTGACAGCAGAAGTTCTCACAGTTGACGTAACTGAAACCTCGTCTTGTGCCTGCGTAAGACCTTGCATCTGTTGGTCTTGAATCAATTGATCCAAGGCACCATTGTTTCCCAGCTGGCTGGGAATTTGGGCATTGGATTGCCTGCTGAGGGGGCCGGCAGTTGGCGCATATTTATTAGCCATACCCTGTAGGAATCTGCCGGCAATGCCGGCGGTAGCAATCTTGCTTGGATCGACAGGTTGTGCGTCGAGTACCATAAATTCGACCATGCGAGAGGACAAACTTTGGAATCCGAGTTTGAAGTAGCGCTCTCCATCCAGATCTACATTCCGTAGCCCAATTGGGTCGACGAGTCGAATACCGCTGGACACACGATCGCAAATCATGAGAGAAGGGACACCCCCTAGGTGGGAGGCAATCTTCTTCGGTATATATACGAGATCGTTACGGTTAATGGGGCACAGCTCAATGATAGTGGTGTACTTGTTTCTAAACACGTTGGACTTTGCGTCGTGAGAAACGAGCTGTGTAGCAGTTGGGGCGACTCTGCAACAGATGTGTTGTCTGATGAACTGTACGAGCGCCTGGGCGTGCTGCGGCTTTGAGAACTGGAAGTCAAGACCATCTGGCGTGTCCACGATGTTATTACAGTTCTTGTGCATCTCGTACTTGAGGATGAGCTGCTCGAGGAAGAGCATGGTGCGCTTGACGCCTGCTCTTTGCCGCACCTGCACGTTGCTAACCCAGATGTGCGGCGTGACGGACTTAGTGCACTCATCGCACTGCCGTGTGGTGACAACAAAGGTGACTATTTTCTTCTGACGGATAGTGACGTTGTCAATTTCGCGTTCCACGCCTATTTGCACTTTGATACGCCTACTGTGCGATTCCGTCCAGATGAAGCTGGCCTCAACAAGACGCACGTCCTTGGGCTTGCGAATGCGCTTGAGGCATAGCGCCAGCAATTCCTTCGACTCCCACTCACACATCAACCACTGGTTTTTGGACTCGTACCTCTGACATGACTTGCAGTAGTTCACCGTATTGGTCTCACTGATCTCCTCAGCCACACCGCCCCGTTGTTCCAAACACGTCAAGCATAGTCGGGTCTCATTGGCCTGCACAGGTACTCCGCAACTGCAACAAAGAATCGTCGCCCGCTCGTCCTGCTGCTTGCTCAACACCGCCTGCTCATATGCCAGAATCTGCTGCGCCTCCGCCTCTATCTGGGCCGTCTCAGCCCCACCGGCCTTGGCGGCGGAATACCGAGTCTCCAACTCGGCCTTCCGCCGCTGAATCATCTCTAACTCCGCCTGCATGCCACAATAAAATAAAAAAGTCCTACAACCCAGCAAAATGAAAAGTAGGCCGTCCGTCCACACTCACGGTCAAAGAAAATATGTCACTACATACTACGGCGACCTAACCCAAGCCAGCCAGCCAGCCAGCCAGGCTTATGTTAGACAAGTCAGCGTCCGCCCAGACTCTCGCACCGAGTTCATGCCACGTGCTTAGACGGTGGGTTGCGGTTAGCTTCATCGCTTAGGTCCGTCACCGGAACCCTCAAATCGCTCCAGAAAGCAAGTGCACTGATTCTGGAATAAGTGCTCTGAAACGAAACGGCACACGATAAGATTAAACGGCCACTCGAGTTATATTTAGGAACGTCGTTCGACGGTTTTTGCGAGCCAGTCTAGCCCCTCCACTAGCCCCTCTCCTGTCTTTGCACAAGTTGACTGAATGTACCACGCGCGCTGTTTAAGGAGATGCAGCTCAAGCTTCTCCGTTATTTCGGAAGCCCTCATCGCGTTAGGAAGGTCCTGCTTATTAGCGAATACTAACAGCACTGCGTCGCGTAAATCTTCGTCCGCTAACATACGGTGCAATTCCTCCTTCGCGTCTTCTATACGGTCTCTATCATTACTGTCTATCACATAAATCAAACCCTGGGTACCCAAGTAATAATGCTTCCACAAAGCTCTGAGCTTGTACTGTCCACCAACATCCCAAACGGTGAAGGAGATGTTCTTATACTCGACAGTTTCCAGGTTAAAGCCTATGATAAGATATGGTATGAAATTAAATTACAGGACGGTCGGTATAGGCCGACTGATACGGGTCGGTATAGGCCGACTGATACGGGACGATCGGTCGGTATAGGCCGACTGATACGGGACGATCGGTCGGTATAGGCTGCTCGTATAGGCTGGTTTTGAAATCAAAGGATGGTCTTACCAATCGTGGGAATAGTAGTAACGATCTCGCCCAGTTTCAATTTGTACAAGATGGTCGTCTTGCCCGCAGCGTCAAGTCCAACCATGAGGATGCGGCAGTCCTTCTTGCCGAAGAACTTAAAGGCCCGGGAGAACATCAACCCCATGTTGGCTAGCAGACAGACCAAATTTTTAATCAAGTGAAAAAGAGAGTGTGCGACGGCAATCACGCCCCCCTGAATCAGCCCTACTCACCGCCAAGGCTTGTACCACGGACGTCGAAACGAGGTTGATTGAATCCCTGCTGAAGACGCCCGCGGCAAAATCTGTACCTCATAAAGCAACTCCCCAGACTCCTCTGGACCCGGCCCACGAGCTGCTGGCGACCCCCGTGTTGCTGGCGACCCCCGAGCTGCTGACTTCAGGAGTCGGGTATGGGAGACTGCCGCCGCCAGCCTGGACCTGGGCTGCAGTCCAGGGAAGGCGCTATCCTCCAGCGTGAGGCCAGAGCCAGCAGTCTCGGGACTAGCTTCTGCTTCTAGGCTAGCTTTTGCTTCTGGGCTAACTTCTCCTGCTGGACTACCTTCTCTTGATGGACTAGCTTCTGGACGAGGACTCCCGTCTAACGAACCCCTGGCGACCTTGGTCAGTTGCGAGCTTTCATCCAGTAGTACGTCCCTGGGTCCGTTGCCCCTGGTTCCGTCGTCCCCCAGCCCGTCGTCCCTCAGTCCGTCGTCCCTCAGTCCGTTGTCCCTCAGTCCGTTGTCCCTCAGTCCGTTGTCCCTCAGTCCGTTGTCCCTGACTCCCTTGTGCCCCAGCCCGTCTTCGTCACCGGCGTTGGGCAGCAGGGAGTGGTCAGTTTGTTGGTGAGTGGAGAGGAGGTGGGTGTCGAAGATAGCGATGGAGTTGCGTCCGGTGATTGGGGATGCGTTTGGAGTCCGAGTGAGAGAGGCGGTGCGTGAGAGGCTTCGTGTGCGGAGTCGATCACGATGCCATCTAGCGGGATTGAATCGCGTGGGTGCGAGCCAAGAGTGTGTGTAGCGTTCGCCGGCGGAGCGCCGTCGGCCTTGTAGGTTCACGCTGCCCAGAGAAAGGCTCGCACTTGGTGAGGCCGTTTGGTTGCCATTTTTCTGGAGAGGGTCGCCTGGAGAGTTGCCCAAATGGTTATTGTTTAGGAGATGTTGACGTTCAACACAAGACCAATCATCAATTTGGAGCACGGGCGGCTGCAGAAATTTGGACACACGTGTGCACTCGCTCATAAGTGTACTACGCCGTCGTCTTAACTCCACAGCCGTCCTCTCACGCTCCGGCTGTGATGTGTAAATATGTACCAGATCAACACGCCGTGCAATACGACTCCAAACTGACATTTCTCTCAAACAAGTAATGGTCGCCAAAATAAACGATTGACTCACGTCGAAATACTCCTCCGTCACCGGCTCCCATTTTGACTGACCGCTACCAACACTATAGGTAAACTTAAAGGACCCACGAATCGGGTCCCAATAGGCCTTGAATAAGTCCTGAGCGGTAAACACCTTTAGTCGTGTAGGATGCTTCGACTTGAACTTGTATATCGTTATAAAGCTGACTACACAACCATACACACTAGTGACCCACTACTTGTGTCTGGTGACCGACTTACTTGGATCTGTTCCGTCCAGAATTAGGTACCGGGTCGTTACCCGAGGAAACCAGGTCCCCAAAATTGTCCATTTCACACTCTGATAGGCAACGGATCCTCGGCGACCTATTTCCCAAGCAGTATGATAAGGTATGAGTAAATCGAAATGCCACTGAGGGTCACAGTTGTAGAGAAGCGGTGTCCATCCGGAATCTCGGATTTGCAAAAGCTCCTTAGCGGTTATGGCTTTCGGCTGCGCATTAAATTCTGCCTCATTAGATACCTGTTGTTCCGATTGCCTAGAAACAAACCATCACGCATATTGA